TCGGGCTGGATTTGCCCACAGTTCGCATCGGCCTACGCATTGCATCCCTCTGCAGTTTCTTCACTTCGACCGGGCGAAGCACCGGCGTGCGTAGCGCGCGTTTCCTTGCAGAGCAGATACGGACAGAGTTCGTTGCAAGGATACCTCAGACGTGTGCGATCGCAGTATCTAGTTGTTTCTAGGCAGGAAAGCACTCAGTCTCTATTGGACCTTGCCATTGCAAGTGGCGTACCTTGCATTTGCGCTGTGAGATCTAGCTTGTTCTCAGCAAGGCACGGTTCAAAGCACCTCCGTGAGGTGAGCTGCATGTTTGTGCCGGTGACCACAAGCAGAGCCATCGTCCTAGTTTCGGGCTGGATTCGCCCACCTGTCTCCTTGGCACATGCAATCCGTGCCTCTGCCCCGTCCTCACATCGATCTAGCAGAGCATCGATGGGCTTTCGTGCGCAGTGCAGATACGGAGAGAGGTTGTTACAAGCATACGTCAGCAGTGAACGGTCGTACCATCCTTTTCTTCATGTTTTAAAGAAGGTGCATTTTTTCTTGGATCTTGCCATGTGTTGCGGTTGTGCTATGGGGTCTAGCTTTGTCACTGCTGCACCATCTGCAAACCACGACCGCGATGCAGGCTTCATGGCTGGTCTGCTTACGACAAGCAGAGCTGTCGTCCTAGTTTCGGGCTGGATTTGCCCACAGTTCGCATCGGCCTACGCATTGCATCCCTCTGCAGTTTGTTCACTTCGACCGGGCGCAGCACCGGCGTGCGTAGCGCGCGTTTCCTTGCAGAGCAGATACGGACAGAGTTCGTTGCAAGGATACCTCAGACGTGTGCGATCGCAGTATCTAGTTGTTTCTAGGCAGGAAAGCACTCATTCTCTATTGGACCTTGCCATTGCAAGTGGCGTGCCTTGCATTTGCGCTGTGAGATCTAGCTTGTTCTCAGCAAGGCACGGTTCGAAGCACCTCCGTGATGTGAGCTGCATGTTTGCGCCGGTGACCACAAGCAGAGCCATCGTCCTAGTTTCGGGCTGGATTCGCCCACCTGTCTCCTTGGCCCATGCAATCCGTGCCTCTGCCCCGTCCTCACTTCGATCTAGCACAGCACCGGTGGGGGTGCAGACACGGAGAAGGTTTGTTGCACGGACTCTTCAGAAGCGAGCGGTCGTGTCATTTTTTCTTCAGGCAGTAAAGCAGATGCGTTTGTTCCTGGACCTTGCCATCCAACGCGTTGGTGTTGTGAGGTCTAGATTTGTGGCAGCAGGGACATCTGCAAAAACCGTTCGTGATGCTGGCTGCATGTCTGGGCCGTTGACCACAGGCAGAGCCATAGTCCCAGTTTCGGGCTGGGTTCGCCCAACGATTGCCTCGACCTGTGCAATCCGTGCCTCTGCCCTTCTCGTGGGCGCAGCACCGGTTTGGATTGCTTGGCAGTGCAGATACAGAGAGAGTGCCGGATGTGCGTGCTGGACGTGGGCTTCACCGTGCATGACACAGCCGTCTCTGTTGGTGGGCATGCTTCAGCCACCCTCGCCCGCGCCGCGCCTGCAACGAGGCTCGCGAAGTGCCTTCCGGCCGCACCTGGAAGCAGCAGGGGATGTGAAGAACACGCCCTCGTATTGGGCAACATCCATCTCCAAACCCAGCAGATTCTTGACGTGTCCCTTCTTGGCACAGTCAGTCATCGCATTTCGGGCCACTCGTCCTGGTGCTCCCGAATATGTTTTGATAGGTTTTGGTCTGGACCATCAGCGGCTGAGAAAACTCGCACTGGTCCTGTCACTCTAGACCTAAAGCCGTGCTCAGATAGTCCTCAACCCCGATCCCCACAAGCATCAGGCTTCACTTCATCTGCTATTTTTGGAACGATCGTTGGCATGNNNNAGTTGGGTTTAGGGTGTAGGGCGCTCTTTCTTAGAACCCAAGAGGCACAAAACCCTGAATAACTGGTAATAATGTTCCTTTGGATTCCGTAAGAATATCACGCGTACATGATAGCCAAAAACCAATGCTAATCAACTAAAGCCCCTACATCAAGCCCTCAGTCGCCCTGATAATGACCCTGAAAGATCCTGCACAAGGAACCCTGAAAGGAGCCCCATTCTCATGATTTATGCCCCCCTATAGTATGGCTGTGAAGTTCAAGCACCCTTGCAGGGTCCAAGGTTCCTGTATAAGTCTGTTTATGGGAGCCTTCACAGTTGGAAGAGGGTTCCGTTTACGGGTTCCTTCAGAGGGGTACCACAGTCGGTTAAGATACGGGCTTAAAGAGGTTCCATGTAAGGGGTTTCACTGCAAGAGTCTAACGTTGAGGCCATATACAGTATATAGTACGAATAATCATAAGAAGGAAGCCAAAGGAATAGCACTGCTAATGTCGTTT